GGCGTGCACCTGTCAACAGCCATGCTCGGCAGGTCCGGGTACCGGGCGCTGCCCCTCGGGGACTTCGATCGCTTCCAGCAGTCGAGCTTCGGCTTTTTGGGCTCGCAGAAGGGCTGCTTGTCCCCGGAGCGGGGCGGCGCGGGGCCAGGGGCCGGTGAGTGGCCGCCCCGCACGGTGGACCCAGGGGGAGCGGCCGGCGCCCCCAGGCTCCAGCTCGCTCCAGCTCGCTGCCGCCAAGAAGTCGGCCGGGCTGGTGCCCTCGCACCCTGCGAGGACGGACCGAAAAAGGGCTGCGATGTGGCCAGGAGGCTGGACCCGGCGCTGGCTCCCATCCGCCCTCGTGGGGTCGGGGCGCGGGGCCCGGGAGCCAGCCTAGCCCCCATCTTCCAAGACCTCCCCCGCCGCATCTCTCTTCGGCTGCTGTAACCTGTTAGGCCTGGGCAGAGTTTCAAGTTCCCATTTCGCCTAGAAAGAAACCGAGGTTGAGGCAGAGGAGGCCACCAGCACCCTAAGGGCACCTGCTGCAGAGAAATGGAAGAATCGTCACCCTAAGGGGCACCTCTATAAGCCTGTGCACCGGGCATCTCCCAGATGGGCCGGCCAAAAAGGCAGGCTCTCAGTGCCTGTGGTGTCTACCCTGGGTCTGTGTTGCCCCGGAACCTTCTGTGGTTCCCTTGGCCCACAAGCCAGGTTCCACCCTCCTCAGCCTGACCAGCAGATCAGATGATTTGGTCCCTCCCCGTCCCTCCTGTACTGACAGCTGCCCCTGTCCATGGACTCTTCCTGCAGAGGCTTCGTGGGTCAGAGCCAGGCAGAAAGTGGAGTTGCAGTGCTCTAGGACTTGGAGAGTCCAGAGGGCCTGGGGTTCCTGGAAGGATGGAGCAGAGGCTCCTGACTGCTTCTGTCCTGGACTAGGAGGAAAAGGAAAGCAGCCAATAACCTCATCCAGGTTCTGGGGCTGTCAGCTCTGCTCCCACCCTGGACTCCTGGTTCTCCAGGGGCAGGGACCTTTGGCTTGGATGAGATTCAATTTACATGAATTAAAATATGCATTTTAATGGTCGTCAGGATATAAAAGTGGGGTGAGGAACAGAAAAGGATACCTTATCCCTCATCTGCGGCTCCTATTGGTAGCCACTATGCTTTTATCCCAAAAGGACCCTTTGGGAATACATTCCTGGGGCTGATGACAGGATAAAGAATAGTGGCAGATTCAACTTACAGACACCCAGGGGTTCCCGGCTCATGCTAGTTTGGGTGGGCAATGGAGATTTGACAAGAGTACTGACCCCTGTTTAGCCCAGTGCGGAGAGCATTGCACGAGTGTATTCTCAGATTTGATGGCCCTTGTCCAGCAGAAAACATAGCTTTGTGAGGTTGTTGGACTCAGGATACTTCAGTTTTGACATTTGAGAGGAGGAAACAGTTCCTACCTGGCTCCTGCCCAATGGTCTGGGGGTACTAGGCAAGGAACCAAACAGTCCTGGGAAGGCAGAAGCCCCTGAAGAGGAGGCAGGCAAGAGGTGCCCTCTGCCTACCACTGTCCTGTCAGACCTGTTGACCTTCCCTGACCCCCTGCTTTTGCCCCCAGATGCACCCCAGAGCTGGCCCTCCTGCCTCTGCTATGGCCTCATCAGTTTCCTGGGGTTCCTGCTGCTGCTGGTCACCTTCCCCATTTCTGGTTGGTTCGTCCTGAAGGTAAGACTGGTTGGGTTGGCCCCTGGGATGGTCAAACCCCCTGAGAGCTTTGGCACTGGCGGATGCATTTCTCCATCCTCTGCCTCTTTCCCTAGATAGTGTGTTATTGCACTTCTGTGGAATGAGCTGGCAAAAATTGTTCCTTTCCATTGTTCAGATGAGGACACGGAGGCTCTGCCCTGTCCAGAATCATCCTCGGAGCCAGTAGGAGGCAGAACCAAATCCTCCCACACTCCCAAGTCCTGGGATCTGGACCCTGGCTTCAGGGTGCACATGAATATCTTTGCCATGTCATCCTCCTCTTGAGTTAGGCTAAATGGGAAATGGCCCTGCAGGTCTGCACAGCAGGGATTCAGGCCTTGCCTCCCCCAAGGGTGGTACAGCTGGGGAAAGGGTGAGTGACAGAGCTGTGAGTCAGCATCACACCTGGCAGCTGCAGGGTGGTGGAAGCCCAGGTGGCCTTGTGTGGGCCTAGGTGACAGTCAGCTTCCCCAAAAAGCCTCTGGGCGTGATGTGGTCTGGAAGGGAGTCTTTAGCTGGTCCTAGATCCTAGTTCTAAAGCTGCCACAGAAACAAATGCTTTGTGATGTTGGGTAAGTTGCTTTGCTCTCTGGGCCTTTATTTCTCACGTTGGACATATCTGCTTCTCTAAGCAGCTAAAAGCCTTTTGCCTGGGGGTGCTGGGATTAGAGCATCCCAACAGTTTCTCCTAACTAATCAGAGGGCAGACAGTTTCCTGGTATGAGTCATTGTCTAGCTTCAGACCACAGAGATGAGGGTTCTTTAAGGATCTGGTCCATACAACGGGTAGTGGGAGTTATTAAGAACTGCATCAAATCCTGCCTGTTTCGCTTCCGGGCTGTGTGACTGCTGAACCGGCCATTTTACCCTCTCTGAGCCTTGGTTTTCTCGAAGAACAGATCTAAGGATGCCTGACTGGCCCAAGATGGGAGGAGGGAAGGAGGGACCTGGGCTCACGGGGCTGCCCGGTAGCCATGTTCACCCTTCCCTGGCCACCATGGACAGGTCGTGCCCACCTACGAGCGGATAGTGGTGTTCCGCCTGGGCCGGATCCGCAACCCCCAGGGACCTGGCATGGTCCTGCTCTTGCCCTTCATTGATTCCTTCCAGAGAGTGGACCTGAGGACACGAGCATTCAACGTCCCACCATGCAAGGTGAGGGGCTTCACAGCTGCCTGGGTGGAGGAAGGGTAGCCCATGCAGGGGAAACCGTAGGTACCAAGACCTTGGCCTGGGAGTCACCTTCTGGGGATGGGGAGAAAGAGACCAGAAAACTGCTGGAGGCTGGGAGGACATCCCTGCTCCTTGCTCCTGACCCCATGCACTCGGGGACACTGTTGTGCCCCTGAGGAGCTAGCTGCCAAGCGATGGGGCAAGCAGGTGGCCTGCGTGGGCCTGGCCTCCCTACATGCACAGCTCCTGAATGTCTCCTCTCATGGCCTCCCCTCTCAGCTGGCCTCTAAGGATGGGGCTGTGCTGTCCGTGGGGGCCGACATCCAATTTCGCATCTGGGACCCGGTGCTATCAGTGATGACTGTGAAGGACTTGAACACAGCCACGCGCATGACGGCCCAGAACGCCATGACCAAGGCCCTGCTCAAGCGGCCACTGCAGGAGATTCAGATGGACAAGCTCAAGATCAGCGACCAGCTGCTGGTAGGCACCCCCTGCCCCCAGGCACGGCTCAGACCAGCATCGGTGCCAGACTGCCTTGTTCATAGCATCAGACCACTCTGGGCCTCTGTTCACCGTGTGTCCTGAGAGCACACACACCTTGGGAGAGCCAGTGGCTGGGGGCGCTGGGAGCTGAGGAGCAGAAGGTGGGTGTGGGGCACAGCCAGCTCAGGTACACGGGTCCCTGCGTGGGGGAAGGGGCCCCACAGAGCTTCTTGGGGCCCATCCTGACTGTGAGACTTCACCCATCACTTCTCTGCCATGATGACTGGGCCCCTGCAATCCCATCTGGGCCTGACTCACTGGCAGGCAAGTGGGGGCAGAAACCCTCCCTGCTCAGTCACCTGGGGAATTCCATGCTCACGGTGCAGTACGTGCATTCTTGGAGTTTTGGTTTCCATGTTTGGAACAGAACAAGCGGACATGAGGACACATAGGTCTTTTCCTGCCTTTCTCCATGTGTATAGGAAGTGACCTGCACCGATTGACCTTCAATCCCTTCTGCTGGCCAGCACGGTGACTCCTCCCTGTAATTCCAGCACTTGAGGAGGCTGAGGTGGGAGGGAGGCCTGAGCCCAAACATTCAAGACTAGCCTGGGCAACATAGCAAGACCTCGTCTCTAAAAAAAATCAAAAAATTCGCTTGTCATGGTGGCACAGCTATTCACAAAGCTGAGGCAGGAGGATCACCTGAGCCCAGGAGTTCGAGGTTGCACTGAACCATGATTATGCCACTGCACTCCAGCCTGGGCAACAGAGTGAGACCCTGACTCAAAAAGCAAATCCTTTCTACTACAAGATGGGGTAGAAAGAAATACACCCACAGTGGCATGTTTCTCAAGGCCATACGCAACTTTTGCCTCTTCCCATGTCCTGATAGGGAGCGTGGTGAAGTTTGTCCCCACTGCCCCAGGCTCTGCTTTCCCTAGGGGATTCCAGGTTAGAGAACAGGAGCGGGTGGGGATATATGCCAGTCCTGGAGGTACCTGGCCCTTCAGGAAGCAGACCTGCAGACCACACACAGGGTGGATGTCCCGAGAAACCCCACGCGTGCCCGGAGCTCTTGTGTGTACAACCCCTTCCACTGCACACGGCCCTTTGTCCATCCCACTGTGTCTCCACTTCACATTTCGCAGCAAAAGAGCCAGTTTTAATTTGGAGGGCAGACACCAAGACTTCGAAATGACTTGTCTTGGCCCTAAGAGCCACAGTCAAGAGCAGTGCTGGCTCAGACCCAGACCCCTGCCCATCCCCGCAATCCAGGGGTAGACCTGGATCTGGTGACAGGTGCATAACCATTGTTTGGTGAGCTCACAACCCATTTTTATTCTCCTGAAGAAGAGGAAGTTGATCTTGGCCTTGTTGCCTGGTACTGTGGTGTGAGAGAGGCAGTTTTGGGATGTCAGTCCCACACCAGAATGTGAGAGCCATGGAAGCCCATGGCCCAGGCTGAGCTGGCACTTGGTAAGGTCAGAGCCAGTGGTTGACACAAACTTCAGGAAGTCCAGGGCTGCCCCGGCCTAGCTTCCATGGGCGTTTCTCACTCCTTGCCCCCTTCACTTTCTTCTCTTCTGGGGGACTGTGACTCCTGCCTCCCACCTGCTAGGCTCTGCCCTGCCCTCCTCCAGCCCCGCCCCCACTGTGCTCTCCAGCCCACCTGTCTCCTCCTGCTCTGGAGGCTCAGGACCCCCACACCTCAGCCTCCTTCCACTGCTGGGCTTCCAGCCCACCCATATCTGGGCTGCTCCTCCAGCTTCCTCTCCCAGAGGCTCGCCCTGCCCCTTAGTGGTCCGGCCCCTCCTCCCCGGGATGTCTCCCCTCCCCCCTCATACTCTCTTTTCTGCACAGAAACACACCCTCCCTGTGCCCAGTCCCTCCAGCTCCCACCCCTCCCCTTCACTTCTGCAAGTCACCACCCCACCTTAGTCCCAGTGACCTCCCCAGCTCCTGAGAGGCGCTGGCCACATCACGGCCCCTCCTGCCTCTCAGCGCTTCTCTGTTTCAGCCTCCCACCCTCCTCTGTTTCCCTCCCTTCCCTCCTCCCTTGCCTACAGCTCCAGCCGCCCTCCAGCCTTCCTGGTCTCCCTCTGTGTGTCTTGGCTTCAGAGCCCCACCACTCGCCCATCAGTATCCTTTCTTGGCAGCTTTTGGAACCATGTCTCCCGTGGTCCCGTGCGTCCCCCACTCAGTCCCCTTCAGTCCAGTGTCCACACAATGGCCAGGAGGCCCTTCCCAAAAGCATGTCTGCTCTGTCCCCTTCCTGCCTAACTCCTCTCTAGGCTCCTCGTTGCCTCAGAATAAGTCCAAGTGAGTGGGAACAACCCACCTACACTGTCCCCAGCGCACCAGCCCACATGCAAGAGCCTAGCGCATGGAACTGGTTCCTCGCAGCTCCTGGAACATTCCAGGCTGTCCGCTCTGGACTTTTGCACATGCTGTTCCCATGGCCCCGAAGGCTCCTTCAGGAATTCTGCTCCTGGGCGTCACCCCTGCCGGGGGCTTACTACCTTCCTCCTTGCTGGTTTGTCATGTACCCAGTGCAGTGCTGATACCCTCGGCCGGAAGTCCCAGGCCAGAGTGACTCTAGACATGGTGCCTCCAGGGCCATGCGAGGCCACAGCAGCCTACCCAAAGAAGGGCCTCAGAAGAGGTTTGTTGAGTGAATCCCGTGTCTCCCCACTGTCCTCCAGCTGGAGATCAACGACGTGACCAGGGCCTGGGGGCTGGAGGTGGACCGCGTGGAGCTGGCGGTGGAGGCTGTGCTCCAGCCACCCCAGGACAGCCCGGCCGGGCCCAGCCTGGACAGCGCCCTCCAGCAGCTGGCCCTGCACCTCCTGGGAGGGGGTGTGAACCCAGGGGCAGGAGGTGTCCCACCCGCTGGGCCAGGTGAGGAGCCCAGGAGGTGGTAGAGTTTGCCCCTGGGTAGTGTCAGCACAGGTGGGCCAGGCGGGGCTCCCCACTTCCCCAGCAGGCACCTCGATTCTAGAGCTGACTGTGGCGAGGGCTGCAAGGGGAGTTCCAGCATCTGAGGGGGGTTCTGGGGCATCTGTGGGGGGTAGGAGAGAGAGCTTCACATCTGAGACTGGCGTCGTTGAGAAACAGTGTTAGGGGGTTCAGGCTGAAAACTCAGGGCATCTGTTTGGCAGAGGAGGAATGAGTGCAGCCCTGGGGGGCATAGGAGGAGACTGCCCCGTGGTGTGGAGGTCACAGTGAGTGGTCCTGCCCTTGGTGACACACTGACCTCCTTCTGTCTGTCTCCCTCCATGCCTCCAGTGGACACCGTGGAGATGGTGAGCGAGGTGGAGCCTCCTGCCGCCCACACTGGTGCAGGGCCCGGGCTGAAGCCGCCCATGGCCGAGGGACTGCTGACAGCCCTGCAGCCCTTCTTGTCTGAGGCCCTGGTCAGCCAGGTCGGGGCCTGCTACCAGTTCAACGTCGTCATGCCCAGTGGCTCCCAGAGTACCTACTTCCTGGACCTAGCCTCAGGTGCCGTCCTCGCTGCCTCCCCTGCCGTAGGGCTGACATGATCCACCCCCATGGTGCTTTGTAGACCACCCCCTGCTCCACAGTGCAGGGTGACCCTAGGCCATCAGGGCTTGGATGCCACTTCCAGACAGTGATGACCCATGCCCGTCTTCCACGGTCAGCAGGACAGCTTGGCGGCTTCCCTGCCGAGAGCCCTGCCCTGTTGCTGGCCTGCTGTGTGGCCCTGGCCAGGCTCAGGCCAGGCAGCTGTTGGGCTGTATCTTCTCTGCTTTTCTCCATGAGCCCATGATTTTGGGTTCATCATCATCCCTATCCCACAGATTTAGAAACCGAAGCTCCAGGTGGTCAGATAGCCAGCAGGACAGGAGCCCAGGGTGTCAGAACCTGGACTCCTCCCCAGAACTCTCCACTTCTCCCAAGGTGCCATGATCACCCCCTAGCAACTCCCTACTAATGCTCGTTTTCTTTTCCCCCCGCAGGGCGAGGGAGGGTGGGCCCCGGTGTGCCCGATGGCATCCCTGATGTGGTGGTGGAGGTGGCCGAGGCTGACCTGAGGGCCCTGCTGTGCCGGGAGCTGCAGCCCCTGGGGGCCTACATGAGCGGGCGGCTGAAGGTGAAGGGTGACCTGGCTGTGGCCATGAAGCTGGAGGCAGTCCTCAAGGCCCTGAAGTAGCAGCCTGGGCTGACTGCCCATAGACCAGCCCGAGCCTGGTACCAAGCCAGGGGGGCCTCTTGGAGGAGGAGGCGTTGGTCTGCACCTCGGAGAGTTGAGGCCCTAACAAGTTTCTGGCCCAGCCAGTTCCCCATGGATGGAGTCTGGGAGCCTGGCTGGGAGCTGGGAGTGGCTGAAGCAGGCTGCTCTGCTCTTCTCACCTGCAAGGTTCTCTGGACAAGCCTTTGTCCGACCGGGTCCCCAGCTCAGTGCCAGCCCTGAGTTGGGTACACAGCATGATGGCAGGAGAGTCACCTGCCCTGTCAGGCGCCTGGCTGGGAGACAGAACCCACAGACACAGCTGGAGGCACAGTTAGGGCCCTGTGGGGTGGGGGCGAAGCAGTGGCTGGACACGAGGGAGGGTGGGAAGGGAGGGGGCAGCCTCCCAGGGGAGGCACTGCAACCAGATTGGGGCTCTGGGGTTGGGCTGGGCCCCGTCCCAGGTGCCCCCAGAGTCTTGTCCTCTACCAGCTCCATCCCGCATGCAGGGAGCTGGGCCTGGGGCAGCATGAAGGGAAGCCCCGCCCCCGAGGTTCTCAAGGGCGCAACCTCGGAGCAAATAAACATGCTGTTGAAACATGATGGAGAGAAGAAGCCAAGGGGGCCCCTGCTGCCATACCTGGAGAATCTCTAAGGGTGGGGGGGATGGGAAAGGGAGCCCCCGATCCTCTGTAGTTGGGGCACAGGCTCACCAGGGAAGTAGGGCGTGAGCACCCAGCCTGGCCTGCAAACACAGTAATGGGCCAAGGGGCAGGCGGGGAAGGGCTCTTCCTCTTCCAGAGTACAGTTGGCACAGAAGGGGCCTGTGACTCCTCTAGTCCTAAGAAACGACCTTCTTCCTGGAAAGGCTTGTGGGGAAAGCCCCTGGCACCATGCCTGTCCCCTGGGGCGCTCCCCTTCCTGGGCCAGGCAACACACAGCTTGCTCCTCTGCCCCTGCCAGGTCCCTCGGGTAGGTACCCCATGCGTGTAGGCCGCCTCCCTAGAGTTCATGACCTGCCATCC